ACTGATAAACTTTTTTTACTTGGACTATCTCCTAGGTGAGACCTGCATAATTGCATATACACTGCACCTTTTGTTCATAAACATTGCACCTTTTGTTGTAATAGAGATTATTCAGAATTCCATTCCTTTCTACATTCACCATAACAATCTATTGACTGTTCATGAGCTGCATACGATAAGATAGTAGAACTTCTTTCTTCATTCAAGCAAATCAATTGTGGATCTCAATAAGCGAATAGTTATCTCACATATGAACTAGGCTCGACATTAGGCCATAAAATTGCAAACCCCTGTTTGGTTTTCCTCGCCCAAACAAACCCAAAGAAAATAATAGATGGCACAGCATAGCAATTAAAAAGCATGAAATGATCATCGTCATTAGTCAGTCCGTCTCACTTACATACGTATTGGATTAAGAATATCTATATGGCGATTTTTCCTATCTTGAGCTGAATACTATGACTATCCAAAAGCACAAGTTACTATCTGTAAGCTGAAGTCATGAAACACTTGACGCTCATTGTGTACTTTCATTGATGGTCGATTACTCGATTCAAACAAATCAACCCTAATAGATAACTCAAGAACTCTGAAACGGATGCATTGAAAATTTGTTCCATGTTCTACACTCAATGTAAAAAAGCTCTTAACAATAGTGAATTCAATGCCATGTCTTCCCCAAGGATCAGAGTATACTTCATTTGTTCCTTTTCACTTCTTACAGCAGCAGAACTATAGCCAAGTACTCATAAATATTTGTTATAGGATGCAGCCTATATGCAAGGCAATACTCAAAAACACACATAATTGCTATTCATACACATTTACCAGGATAGAAAGCAGGATCTATGAATTATCTGAAACAAGAGAGCATAAAAGAAACAACAAATTGTTTCAAAAAAAACAAGGAAAGAACGAACCCTTTTATTAATTCTATACTGCGACGCTTATATCAGAATTTAAAATTCGGATTTAATGCTAGCATGAGGGTACAGGAGGGTAGAGGCGAACGAACTGGTCTTGCTGTTCTTGGTATCGGCGCTTGAGGTAATTCTCAAGGATCTCCATGACGCAGACGAAACGCTTCATTTCCTCGAGTTTCTGGCTGAGGTCGGCTTCCCTAGCTCTGGCTCGCTCAAGCCGAGCCTCCGTCTCTGCCAACCGGTCCCGGAGATTGTCCACCACTACCGCGTTTTCATTCACCGCAGCTGTGGCTGCTCGAGCTCGCGTATGGCCGCCAAACTCGTCCTTCGACGGGAATCGTTGACCGCCGTAACACATCCTCTATTTCAAATCCGATTCGGCCTGTCGACGACCTACTGCGAGAACGGAGTCCCACCACCTTGATGGCTTGATGTGCTTGTTCTCCGCCTCCGATTGATGATATGGACTTTCATAAAGGTCAATTAAGTCAATTAAAGCAGTGTTTGGGATTGCTTAAAAAAAGTGCTTTTCAGTTTTTGGCTTTAAAAAAGCTAAAAAGAGTGTTTTCAAATTACAGCTTCTGCTTAAATTAATCATTTAAAAGCTAAAAGCTGGAAGCAGGTGGAAGGGTGCTTTAAACTGCTTTTCACTTTTTCTATTACACAAAAAGTACTTATTTTACCAAACTCTACCAACTTTTACTTTTTCAGAATCACTTTTTTCTCAAACACTACCAACTTTTCCTATTAATCACTTTTCCCCAAATCACTTTAAAAATCACTTTTTTAAAGTTGAAGCAATTGCAAACACTCCCTAAGTCCTTCTATATGAGGTTCTGTACAGCCGTCGCGATTTGGGGCAGTTCCCGGTGGAATTTTTTGATGAAATTTTTTGAGCATCTTATTCATCAAGTCTAGTTTACTCATACCAAATTTCAGCTAAAAATTCAATCGAGAATACATTCAAATTAATTCTTGAAGATAACTGCGCATTTTTGCATTCTCGAATTAATTTGAATGCGCTCCCGATTAAATTTTTAGCTGATTTTTGGTATGAGTGAACTAGACTTGATGAATAAGATGCTCAAAAAAATTCATCAAAAAAACAACAATGGCGGGGTCCCGCACACCGAACGCGCCACCCGAACGGGTGGTCAGCAAGTGGAGGCCGCATTTAATACAAAAGCATGGCGGCAGCAAGTGGGGGCATGGTTGCCTACGTGGCAGGGGTGGTAGTCTACCGGATTCAGCCACGTGTCCAGCTTACCCATCCCCATTTTAGTATAAATACCTGCATTAAGATCATTGTAAAGGATTAGCATTTTGATACTCAGAGCTTAGCAAGTAGAAACACTTCTCTTATTCTTGTATTCTTGTACTTACCTACCGTTCGGGTAGTTCAGTGTAATTGCAGCATTACTGAATACGAGTTAGCTCCTGAGTTAAACAATCTTTCACTGTCTTATAGTTTATACACTTTCTAAACCAACCCAACATCCTTACAATATCCAAAGCTTGTATTGGGCTTTCGGATCTTCGGGAATAAACCTCAACATTGGCGCCGTCTGTGGGAAACCGAACAAAAATCCCAAACAAAACCTTTGATCTAAGCACCATTTTCCTTAAAATGGCTAGAATTACTCTAGCAACTCTGAGTTCTGCTACCAGAGGCCGGAGGGGCAATGGATCCTCCGAGGGGTGGTCTATGCAAGGGCAGGCCAGTGGCAGTGCCATCCAGGAATTTGAGAGCCATGCAGCGGCCATGCAGCGCATGGCGAACGAACAGGAACAGGGAGGAGGATACACCGACGAAACTCATGAGCAATTCTCCCCTGTCCGTCCCATGCCATCCTTCGACGAAGGGGAAGACACTGAGACCACCACGGCCTCAGCACATTCCCAGGAGCACCGAGGAAATCACTGGAGGGCCCACGCCCCCAGATATGCACAGCAAGCACCGGCCAATCGAACCCCGTTCATACCTTGAAACGAAGCCCAACACAGGGAACCTAGCCCCATGATAGATCCCGTTGGGCAACATTTTCAGTTCGTGGAGAGGGATGGGGAGCGTTTCATCCGGAGGAGGGCAAACACAGCTGCCCCTCCCCCGGACAGGATGCGATAGTTTGTGGAGGCGAGGATACCACAAGCTCCCCGAACGGCCCAGGATGAAGAAATTGTCGAAATGAGGAGTCAGATGACTGAGCTCAGATAGCAGATGAACCGGACGCCCCAGCAAACCCCGCCAGCACGGGTTGGGATCACTTCTCCCTTCACGAGGGAGATCATGAATGCAGAAATTCTGAGGGACTGCCGACCCCCGGCCGGCCTTACGTACGATGGGGTGGGAGATCCCCATGTACATTTGAGAAGTTACCAGGGTGGGCTTATGCTTTTAGGGGCCACTGACGCTGCAATTTGAAGGCTGTTCTTCAGCACCCTCTGAGGACCAGCCCAGGAATGGTTCAAGACACTACAGCTCGGATCGATTGGGAGCTTCGCGGAACTGTCCACTTTGTTCCTGGCACAGTTCGCTTCCAGCACCAGCCCGAAACTGCATTTCGGGTACCTGACCAGTGTGAGGCAAGGACCAAAGGAATCGATCAGCGGTTTCTTAACCAGGTGGAGGACCGAGACTCTGAAGGTTACCGGCATGACAGATGAAACAGCCATCCTTCTGTTCACCGACGCCCTTCAGACTGAGGATCTATATAGGGAACTAAAGAGGAATCCAGGGACCAGTTACCCGGATGTCCCGGAAAGGGCCAAGAGCCATGCGGCTCTGGAAGAAGAAATCAAGGTACGGGACCGAACGGCCCCTCAACCTACCACAAGGTTGGCGGACCGACTTGGCCCCATGCCGGCACCTGCACCCCACCGTCCGAAGAACCGACATTTCACCCCGTTTGTGATGACCATTGCAAACATCTTCAAGCATGAATCGGATACCACCCCCCCCCCCCAACCCCCCCCCCCCCCGACTGATTCAGGGGTTTTCATGGGAACGGATCCAAATGCATTCTGCAAATACCACAAGCGGAGAGGGCATCATACGCAATACTGCCGAGCTTTGCAGATTGCAATTGAGGAACTGATCCACCAAGGGTACTTGAGAAAGTACATGAGCACCAACCCAAACGGCCCTCCCCCGAACCAGCGTCAGAACAAGAAGCCCAACAGCTGGAAGAGAGACGTCCAGCGTGACGGTGAGCCTAGAAACAATGCATACGTCCCACCCAGCGACACGACAGAAGGTTCGGGGAACCCAGGGAAGAAACCAAGGATGGAGATCAAGGTCATCTTTGGCGGGGGAGAAACCGGGGACACGAACGCCGAACGGAAGAGGTTCGAGCGAAATCTGTACGTGGCCACCGTATCCACCCCACCCCAAAAGAAGGGAAGGGTGGAGCCAATAACATTTGGGGTGGCCGATCTGTAACACCGTCCCCAAATGTATTTACTTTCAAGTAAATGATGTAATAAACCTTATGGAATGATTTACGAATTTATGAAGTTGTAAATTTTTATTATTTCTTTCGCGTGAATAGTAAATTGCACGTGGGACCCACACTGGGAGCGGGGGCCGCCCGACTTTCCCGAGACCATATATTTTATTCATCTTGGTCTAGACAATAAATATATAGTGGTGGATATTGCATTTGGGCCATGGAAAGGCCCGGAGTTGACCGATTGGTCAAAGGAAGCCAAAATTACCGGTACTGGTAATTTAACAGATAACAGCCCGAACTGAATTTCGGAGACTCATAAATTAAAGTTGGGGAATGTATATTCATGATACATGTCATAATGAGTAAGAGCCCATAATATATTTTATTTGACCCGATAAAATAAAATATAATTAAAACAGTCCGAAAAATACAACTTTCGGGACCAATTGTACACTTCGGGACAAAAAGGGTTGACCTCCCACATGAGTGGGGGCCAACCCACGATTTTTCCACTCAAAAATTGAGGGAGGGTCGGCTGGTGCATGAAGAGAACATGGGAGGAGGATGTTGATAAGAAAGGAATGGCATCAAAAGTACCTAGGTGGACCCCCATTTTTGCACTCATTAGATCAATGAGACAAAAGTCCATCCCCATCCCTCTCTCCCCTCTCTATTTCGGCCAAGGCACAGCAACCAAGAGCAAGGAAGCTCCTCATCCTCCTCCCTCCATTGTTGAAGAGAAATCATCAAGGAAGAATCACCCAAAAAGGAGCTAAAGTGCTAAAAGTGTGAAATAATTAAGGTAATGACCTTATTATAACTACTTCTTTATTCTTCTCCTACCATATGAGATATATATGATGTGAAGGATCCTTAAGAGGATTCTACATGTTATAAGTATGGATTAATGGGTTGGAAAGTGATTCCATATCCAAGAACGGACTTAGAAGCCAAAACGACCGGTTCACCGGAAAATAACCTTTTTGAGGTTATTTGTATTAATATGGGTTTTATGATTATAAAACCTTGTTGGGAACTTGTGAAAGGTATTTCAAGTGATTTCACAAAGTTGGAAAAGTCGCCGGAGTTGTCGCCGGAGTTTCACCGGAGTTCAACTAAGAGGGGTAGAACTTCATACGCTAGTTCAAGGTGAGTGGACGGCTTAATATCTTATAACTTTTGGGTTAATTATGAGATTACCTAAATAAATGTTATATGATTTCATAATGATGTTTAAAAGATATTTAAACATGTGATTAGCCAATAGGGTTAAGTTTGTATGAAAGAAATTAATTGTTGATGCATGGAATATGATATGAAGAATTATACGAAATGCATATTTGTTTGAAGTGTATTAGAAGCACAAATGAATATTATTAACTTAATTATATGATGATTAAGTTGATACACACAAGGTATGAAATGGCGGTCAACGAAAACGTGGACCGAAGAACAAAGGATTTAATTAATACCGGTTGGTATTAATTAATTATAAACCTATATAAATGCATGGCTTTGCATGGATTGTGATACATAAGATTTATGTATTGGATTAGTTATGAGTAACTAAGGATGATATAGACTCTATCTAGGTTGATAGGAGGTTGATCATAGGAAAAACTTGGTGGAGGACCCTAGTACTCAAAAGGTACTTAACACTCAAAATTTGGTGGAGGACCCTAGTACTTAAAAAGTACTTAACACTCAAACTTGGTGGAGGACCCTAGGACTTAAAGTCCTTAACACTCAAACTTGGTGGAGGACCCTAGTACTTAAAAGTACTTAACACTCAACACTTGGTGGAGGACCCTAGGACTTAAAAGTCCTTAACACTCAAACTTGGTGGAGGACCCTAGTACTTAAAAGTACTTAACACTCAAAACTTGGTGGAGGACCCTAGGACTTATGAGTCCTTAACACTCACAAACCGGTGGAGTATCCAAGGATTATGATCCTAAAACTCATAGATTGTGATATACAAGTAGGGACAAGGAGGAGTCCTATACACTCATAGGTATATGGGTGGGTCGGGGTTTTTAGTCAAGAATATTGACTATCACTATTTTTCCCAAATAAAATGGTGATCTACGGATCGTATATTTTCCAAGTATACATATGCTAATAAGTATTTCATAACCTGGGGAAAGGACTATTTACTTAAGTATCACCCTATGTTTGGGTCTTATACTTGAAACGCTAGTTATTCTATATTTAGCCTGCTACTCGCTCGGTACTTGTACTGACCCCTTCGGGGGGCCCCACCATTTTCAGGTTGAAGCTAGGGCTTGCTACTTGCACCTTCTCAAGGGTGATATCAAATCAGGAAGACGTGGTTCGTGCTTCCTTATTTTCTTTCAAACTACCGAACACTTGCTCATGGATATTTGTTTTACTATAAACTATTTTTGGGGCTTGCATGCCCATGTTGTTGGCCGGTTGTGGCTCATGACGTACCGTTGAATATTTCCGCTATTCATTGGTTTGAATGTGATGTTGTTATGTATGTTTACTACTGAGTATGGATGGATTGTTTTCTCGAACGCCTTGTGTAATTAAGTGAGGTTGACTCGTGGGTGACGTCACTTGGTTATACGGCGGTTGTACACGCGCTTGGATTGCGGTCTGGGGCGTGACAATTAAGTGGTATCAGAGCCATCTCAGTTCTAAACTATGTAATCAACCTCTCACAAAAGATTTTGCAAAAGAGTTTTTACCGAAAACCATGAGCATTGTATTTTGACGTTTATAGGACTATTGGTGCTTAAGTTGCAAGGCCTCTAATTGTTAAGACGGTACCCTTAACAATTGGTATGGTAGTGACTTGGGCCAATACGTGTCTATAACGTTCTTCCGTCAATTGACATTTATAGGAGTCTAATGACTCATCCATATTTCTTTCAGAAATGGAGGGCAGGCGAATGAGGACCAGGAACAATCCGAGGGGGCAGGCGCCGGTAGCATCCCAAAGGGGAAGCCGGGCTGCATCTCGGGGTTCGAGAGGAGGCCGGGGAGGCCGTGGAAGCCGTGGAGGTCATCAAGCTCAAACTGTGAGTGATGGCCATGTGAGCTCGGTGTATGAAACCAACACCGAGGACTATGACTCAACATACGTTCCAGAAACGGAGCATGAGGAGACCCCGTATGATGGGGGCGACACATACACCGATGATGATGATGAAGAGAGTGATGCCAAGTTCGCCCAAATGGGCGAATTGCTTGAGTGGTATCAAAAAGAAAAGCTGAGGAGAGACCTTAGGCGCCAAGCAAGGCGTGGCTCTCGTGGTGGCTCGGGTCAAGGAAGCCGGGGAGCTTCAAGGGCCACTCCCGCGGCGTCACATGGTGGACGTGAAGGAGGTTTTTGTGTGAGAATCTCTAAGTACCTCAAGGAGGCTAGGGCCTTGGGGTGTAGGTCCTTTGACGGCACCGGTGACATTACCGTTGCCGCCGATTGGATTAGGAAGGTGAAGGACGCATCAAGAGACATGCAAATCACACCGGACGTGAAGTTGACTGTCGCTTCACGGCTTCTTGAAGGGATAGCTTCTACGTGGTGGGAGAGCGTGGAAGGGAAGTACCATGGGGAAATAACATGGGCGGATTTTGAGCTAGAGTTCTATGCTCAATACTACTCCGAGTACGAGGTGAATGTAAAAAGGAGAGAGTATAATAACCTGAAACAGAAAGATGGTGGCACGGTTAAACAGTTGGAACAAGACTTTAGAACCTTGGCTAGGTTCTTGCCAGAGTACGCGGTTGATGAGAACCGCATGACGGAGCACTTTTGGGATGCCTTACTCTTGGACATCCGTGATCGGGCTACGTACTCGCGCCACATGACCTTTAGCGAGGTGGTGGAGCAGGGCCTTCTCGGGGAGGCTCAATGGAATGAAAGAAAGGAAAGAGACGCCGAAGAGGCGAAAAAGAGGAAATGGCATGGTTCGGGGCTGCCCGAGCAAGCACGGAAAGATAAACACGGTGGGAGTGGTGGTTCGTTCAAGACACCGGCACCGCCGGCAAAGAAGAACAGGGATGCTCGGTGGCATGCATCCTCCTCACAAAGGACAGGGCCTCCAAAGTGTGCCAATTGTTCGAAAAATCATTTTGGGAAGTGCAATGCACCCCCAAGGTGTTATCAATGTGGGAACACGGGCCACATGAAGGCCAATTGCCCACAATTAGGGGGAGGAGGAGCTCTGGGATCCGGAGGAGGAACCATGACGGGAAGGAACCGTGCGGGCCCGTCAAACGGTGGTACGGGAAGAGGCGGCGCGTCCACAAGTCATGCCGCGTCCGTAAATCAAGGCGGGACCCAAGCACGTGTATACGCGATGACCGAGGCGGATGCGCGAGCAAACCCGGACTCCGTTGCAGGTAATACACTTATTTTCCTGTATTTCTAGGCTTATTTGGGTCATATGAGTCATTGGGTTTGGGTGCGGGCCACCCCGGGGGCAAACCCCGCGAATTCGGGGCGAAACAGGCAAAAAACAACTACGCGCGATCGCGCGTACCCACAGACGCACGACCGTGCGTACGAGGCAGTAGCCTCAGGTCTTATTTCGCACAGACGCACGACCGTGCGTACTGGTAGGCACGCCGTGCGTGGGACGCACGATCGTGCGTGACCAGCTACGCACGATCGTGCGTAGCCGGCAGTGGCTGGCTCCGGATTTCGCGCGCACGCACGGCCGTGCGTACCCCCTACGCACGCCGTGCGTGGACCCCCAACACCGGGAAATTTATTTTTCGCCCCGTTCTTCTACGTTTGGACCCCCGTTCGATTCCAAACATTAGTATGAACCTAATAACATCCTAATGATGTGTAAAAACCTTAGAAAATGTATCTTACATGGTGTATAAATGTAGGAACATTAAAGATCAATGGCAGGTGTGCGAGGATCCTCATCGATACCGGGGCACAACGCTCATTTGTGAGTGAGGCGTTCGCCGAGGGCCTTGACGTGCCATTGACACCTATGACTCAAACGTTGCTAGTCTCCACACCGTTAGGAGACGACGTGGAGAGAAATCATTACTATCCGTCGTGTGAGGTAGAAGTGACGGGTCAACCTTTGACTTGTGATTTCGTACCTCTAAGCATGTTGGAGTTCGATGCAATCCTAGGAATGGATTGGCTCGAGAAACACCATGCTCGAGTAGATTGCTACACCAAGGTGTTAGAGCTCGAGGATGATCAAGGAAACACACTATGTTTCGAGGGAGATCGGAGGAAATCTAATGCTTGTATAATATCCGTGATGAGAGCACGGAAGATGATGAGGAAGGGATGCCACGCATACCTTGCCTACGTGGTGGACGATACCAAGATGGAAGTCGACATCAAAGATGTACGGGTCGTGTGCAAATACCCGGATGTCTTTCCCAAAGACCTACCGGGGCTTCCACCCGATAGAGAGATAGAGTTTGTAATTGAAGTGGAGCCGGGAACCAAACCCATTTCGATTCCTCCTTATCGAATGGCGCCGGCCGAACTCCAAGAGTTGAAGGTCCAACTACAAGAATTACTGGACAACGGGTTCATCAGACCCAGTCATTCACCGTGGGGGGCACCCGTACTCTTCGTGAAGAAGAAGGATGGTACACTAAGAATGTGTATTGACTACCGACAGTTGAACAAGGTCACAGTCAAGAACAGGTATCCCTTACCGAGGATTGATGACTTGTTTGATCAACTTCGGGGGGCAATAGTGTTCTCGAAGATTGATTTGAGGTCGGGATATCATCAGTTGAAAATCAAGGAGAGCGACATAGCTAAGAGTGCATTTCGCACTAGATATGGTCATTACGAATTCCTTGTGATGTCATTTGGTCTAACTAACGCGCCGGCAGCGTTCATGGACTTGATGAACCGTGTGTTTAGTGAATACTTAGATCAATTTGTGATAGTATTCATTGATGACATCTTGATATACTCCAAGAGCGAGGAAGAGCACGAGCATCATTTGGGGCTTATACTTGATCGGCTAAGGGAAAAGCAACTCTTTGCCAAGTTCTCTAAATGCGAATTTTGGCTCAAGGAGATTGGTTTCCTCGGTCATGTCATATCCGGTTCGGGCGTTGCTGTGGATAACGCCAAGATAAAAGCTATCATGGATTGGGAGAGACCCAAGAATGTGAAAGAGATACGTAGTTTCCTTGGCCTAGCGGGATACTATCGTAAATTTGTTGAGAAATTCTCCGTATTGGCGTCCCCATTAACGAAGCTCACAAAGAAAGGGGCCAAGTTTGTATGGGACGACAAGTGTGAGAAAGGGTTCCTTGAACTGAAGAAACGACTTACCGAAGCACCAGTCCTAGCCCTACCCATACAGGGGATAGGGTATGATATCTACAGTGATGCTAGCATCCAAGGACTTGGATGTGTACTGATGCAAAACGGTAAAGTGATTGCATATGCTTCAAGGCAATTGAGAAAGCACGAGGTGAACTACCCTACCCATGATCTAGAATTAGGGGCGGTAGTGTTTGCACTGAAAATCTGGAGGCATTATCTCTACGGGGAGACATGTCACATTTTTACAGACCATAAGAGCTTGAAGTACGTATTCACTCAGAAAGAGTTGAATATGAGGCAGAGGAGATGGATGGAGTTGATCAAGGACTATGACTTGATCATCGACTATCATCCCGGAAAGGCCAATGTCGTGGCCGACGCACTGAGCAGGAAGAATACAACAGGGACGCTACTCACATGTCTACAGGCATTGAGGGCACACGTGGAGGTGTCCACGTGTGGGGCTCTCATTGCTCGATTCGAGGTTAGGCCCACCCTATTGGGCGAGATTAGTCGAAGTCAGGCCATTGATGAGGAATGTCAGAAGATCCGTGAAAGGATCCTGGAAGGACCCGTTGAGAATTTTCGGGTACGTGATGACGGTCTTTTATTGTTTAAAGATCGTGTGTGCATACCAAGGAATGAGGAACTCCAGAAATCTATACTTGAGGAGGCTCATTCTTCGGCTTATGCTATGCATCCAGGAGGTACTAAGATGTACCGAGATTTGAAGGAAAGTTACTGGTGGTCAGGTATGAAGAGAGACATCGCCGAGTATGTGAGTCGATGCCTTACTTGCCAGCAAGTTAAGGCAGAACATCAGCACCCGGCAGGGCTCTTGCAGCCACTCGCCATCCCAGAGTGGAAGTGGGAGCACGTGACCATGGACTTCGTGGTGGGGCTACCACGAACGGTGAACAACTATGATGCAGTTTGGGTAGTGGTTGATAGGCTCACCAAGAGTGCACACTTTTTGCCTATCAACATTACTTATCCTCTTGAAAGATTGGCCAAGCTATACACGGAGGAGATTGTGAGATTACATGGAGTCCCAATATCCATTGTCTCGGATAGGGATCCACGATTCACATCCCGATTTTGGCCAAAGTTTCAGGCATCTTTGGGAACTAAACTGAAGTTTAGCACAGCTTTTCACCCACAGACGGATGGGCAGTCCGAACGGGTGATACAGATTTTGGAAGACATGCTTAGGGCATGTGCACTGGAGTTCCAAGGAAGTTGGGACAAATATTTGACCCTAGTGGAGTTTGCTTATAACAACAGTTATCAAGCAAGTATCGGCATGCCTCCATATGAGGCATTGTATGGGAGGAAATGCAGAACACCGTTGTGTTGGGATGAGGTTGGCGAGGCCAAACTCGAAGGAATAGAGCTGGTTGAGATCACCAAGGCTAAGGTAAGGATCATTCGGGATAGATTGAAGGCTGCTCAGGACCGACAGAAGAGTTATGCTGATAAACGGCGGAGACCGTTGGAGTTCGAGGTCGGTGACGAGGTTTTTCTAAGGATTTCTCCTTGGAAGGGCATCATCCGATTTGTATCGAGGGGGAAGCTTAATCCCCGATACATTGGTCCATTTGAGATCCTTGAAAGGATTGGGGCCGTGGCTTACCGCCTCAAGTTGACACCAGAGCTTGAGAAGATACATGACGTGTTTCATGTATCGATGCTCAAGAAGTACATACGGGACCCATCTCATATTCTTGAGAAACCACCGGTAGAGATCCGTGAGGATTTGCAATATGCGGTAGAGCCGGTGAAGATAGTAGGTCAACAAGTGAAGAAGCTTAGGAATAAGGAGATTCCTATGGTAAAGGTTCTTTGGAGGAGTGATCGAGTCGAAGAAGAAACTTGGGAGACCGAAGTCTCAATGAGGGAGCAATACCCGTTCCTTTTCGATTAGACACACGGATTTCGGGGACGAAATCCCAAATAAGGGGGGGTGAACTTGTAACACCGTCCCCAAATGTATTTACTTTCAAGTAAATGATGTAATAAACCTTATGGAATGATTTACGAATTTACGAAGTTGTAAATTTTTATTATTTCTTTCGCGTGAATAGTAAATTGCACGTGGGACCCACACTGGGAGCGGGGGCCGCCCGACTTTCCCGAGACCATATATTTTATTCATCTTGGTCTAGACAATAAATATATAGTGGTGGATATTGCATTTGGGCCATGGAAAGGCCCGGAGTTGACCGATTGGTCAAAGGAAGCCAAAATTACCGGTACTGGTAATTTAACAGATAACAGCCCGAACTGAATTTCGGAGACTCATAAATTAAAGTTGGGGAATGTATATTCATGATACATGTCATAATGAGTAAGAGCCCATAATATATTTTATTTGACCCGATAAAATAAAATATAATTAAAACAGTCCGAAAAATACAACTTTCGGGACCAATTGTACACTTCGGGACAAAAAGGGTTGACCTCCCACATGAGTGGGGGCCAACCCACGATTTTTCCACTCAAAAATTGAGGGAGGGTCGGCTGGTGCATGAAGAGAACATGGGAGGAGGATGTTGATAAGAAAGGAATGGCATCAAAAGTACCTAGGTGGACCCCCATTTTTGCACTCATTAGATCAATGAGACAAAAGTCCATCCCCATCCCTCTCTCCCCTCTCTATTTCGGCCAAGGCACAGCAACCAAGAGCAAGGAAGCTCCTCATCCTCCTCCCTCCATTGTTGAAGAGAAATCATCAAGGAAGAATCACCCAAAAAGGAGCTAAAGTGCTAAAAGTGTGAAATAATTAAGGTAATGACCTTATTATAACTACTTCTTTATTCTTCTCCTACCATATGAGATATATAT